TTTATTCAATGTTCAAGAAAACAAGGTCAGAATATCCAGAAAATGTCTCACTTCAAAGGGGAAGAAAAGCCATTTTGGTACACAGCTGGAGAGGATATTTTGTCAAAGTGTAACCAGAGGAGACCTCCAGGCATAAAATATTCTTACTATTATGCAAAACAGGCAGAAATAACATAATCCCATTCCTACATACTTGTCACATTCTCTGTGAATCAAGGGTGGCAAAGCGTCCAGTGAAGTGTAATCAACAGTATCTCCTGCAAATACCAACCACAAGTATACATCTACTTTCCTATCTCACTTTCTTCTCCTCCCTCTCTCTCTCCACTCTGTTTATTCAGGTTTCCCCTTCATAAAGATAAGTATCAAATTAAAAATTTCCTACAAGGTAGGTCAAACTCTTCAAACCTTTTTTACAAAGGTAAGTTTTCACTTCACTTGGGAAAAATCCAGGAGGAGAACTGCTGCATCATGAGTAGTTATCTTTTTAGGCTTGTAAGAAACCACCAGAGCTTCTTCCAAAGTACTTTGGTTTGGATGAGAGTCCTAGATGCTCCAAATCTTCACCAATATTTAGTGTCAGTAACTGAACATTAGCTATTCTAATAGATGGGTTCTGTTGAGTTAATTTATAAATGCTTTTAAGTTTTTTTGTGTTTTTTTTCTTCTTCTTCTTTTTTAAATCCCCCCTGTTTGTATGTTGTTAAAACTACTAAACTACATAATTTCACCGACTTTATTTTGGGTTAGTTTTTCAGGGAAAAATGTGTTTAAAAAATAATTAAAACTATATTAAAATGCACCAATATGTAAGTCTCTATCATTAACAAAAAGCATTTCTGCTGTAGTGCAACACATACATTACTGAAAAGCTGTACAGAGCCCAAAACTGTGGACTTAAAAAATAAGATATCTCAGCCATAAAGAATGATGAATTAAGGTCTTTTGCAACAATCTGGATGGAAGTGGAGACAATTATCCTAAGTGAAGTATCTAAAGAATGGAAAAACAAATGCCACATGTACTCATTATTAAATTGGAATTATGCGCAAAAAATAAACAACAAATAAAACATAGCTATATAGGAAAAGGAGGGTTAAAACCACCACAAAAACCTATGTGGCTTTGTAAATAGAGGACAAACAAAATAATAACAATACTAATAATGGTATCAGTGCCATTAAATCTCTATAGGCACGTCCACTAAAGGCCACTGTCAGATAATACATTTCAGCCGTTTTTCCTTCTTTATAACAGCCTACAACTTTCAAGATAGATCAGTTTTGTCAAAACGAAATACTGGATCCAGGGAAAGCTAATTCCATCAATCAATTATTAGAACACAGAGGAGAAACACCTCCACGCCTTTTTCGTTCACACAGCTTCATCATCACAGCACCGTGGAAAGTGAAGCAGCTCCTGGACCCTCTAACCAGCTTCTTTCACTAAAGGAAGGTATTGCAGGATTTTCAGCTTCTTTCTTAAAATACTCATACTTTCTCTTTAATCATTATCGTATCTTTGTTCAGTCCAGGATATCAGTATGCTGAGGAAAATTGCACATTAACCAAGAACACAATTTCTATTTTACACTGACATCGTTCTCTCTCTGTCTATGATCTATGCGCCAGCTCACATTAAGAAAACATATAGGTTGGGCGTGGTGGCTCACGCCTGTAATCCTAGCACTATGCGAGGTTGAAGCAGGAGGATCACTTGAGGTTAGGAGTTCGAGTTCAGCCTTAGCAAGAATGAGACCCCATCACTACTAAAAATAGAAAAAAGGCCGGGCCCGGTGGCTCACGCCTGTAATCCTAGCTCTCTGGGAGGCCGAGACAGGCGGATTGCTCAAGGTCAGGAGTTCGAAACCAGCCTGAGCAAGAGTGAGACCCCGTCTCTACTAAAAATATAAAAAAATTAGCCAGGCAACCAAAAAAATTAGAAAAAATTAGCCAGGTGTGGTGATGAATGCCTGCAGTCCCAACTACTCAGGAGGCTATGGCAGGAGGATCGCTTGAGCCCAGGAGTTTGAGGTTGCTGTGAGCTAGGCTGACGCCACAGCACTCACTCTAGCCTGGGCAACAAGTGAGACTCTGTCTCACAAAAAAAAAAAAAAAAAAATAGAAAAAATTAGCCAGGCAACCAAAAAAATTAGAAAAAATTAGCCAGGTGTGGTGATGAATGCCTGCAGTCCCAACTACTCAGGAGGCTATGGCAGGAGGATCGCTTGAGCCCAGAAGTGTGAGGTTGCTGTGGGCGAGGCTGACATCACTCTAGCCTGGGCGACGGAGCAAGACTCTGGATGGGGAAAACCCATTTTCAAAAAGAAACCCCAAACGCATTGAATTTAACTTCTGTTCCATGAAATTTTGTCTAAACTGTCTTCTTTCTTGGCAGTAGTTTCTATCAGTAGTTTGTATTTCTTTCGAGGCTCTTTTTTTTCATGGACTAGGGAAAACTAAAGTTTCCTCTAGACTAAAATAAACTTCTCTGACTTTTCCAAATTTTGACATATATCAAAATGCAGACTGGTTTCTTTTTCTTTTTTACAGGAATTTGAAGCAGGTAAAAAGCAACAATCAGACTATGAGTTCAAAGGCCTCACAATCAATCACATATGTCATAAGGTAATATGCAGAATCCTAGATGGTATTCTTAGAATTAATAACTGCAATTTTTAAAATTTCTTCAACATTTTAAACTGCTATTCTAACATTAGGTTCTCATTATAATAATCACATTGCAATTAAATCAAAAATTATTTTAGGTTTAGTACCACAAATAATTGTCATCCATTTGTCAGTGTTCTTCACTGATACTTTTTATATAAATGCCCTTCCCCATTTTGCCACAATTTTACTTAAGAGTAGCATTCCAGAACTTGATCAATTTTTAGTCTGACCTCCAGGAAGCATTTGGTGTGAAAAGCCATGTGTACATCATTTACAAGATTACCCCAGAGTATTGTATGGGCCACCATGGAAGCTGATGATCCACCAAAGCAGCAGAAATGAGACAAGCTCCAAATGAAAAACAACAGAGAGCAGTTTGTAGGGTCTTCATCACACTCCTCCTCACTTATATCCCTGAAAGGCATATAAATACCTGCAGGACATCCTTGTACCAGGATATGTTTGGACAGCTTCACATCATTTGAAAATGCATATTCAGGGAAAAAATGCAAACTACCTTTTATTAGAATAAATTGAAGTGTGGAGATATTTTTTAATATGCTAAAAGCTAATATTGATTGCCATTTATGCTAAAAGAAAAAAATAAATAGAGTACAGGGGCAAATTTGCACAAAACCAATCAGCCAAAGTGTGCACAAATTTGGGAAGAACATTTCCTCAGAAGTTCCTAAAAATAATTTTCCATTTTTATGGGTGCCAGCTTTAGTGCTAAAGCTGAGTAACCTCTAACAAACTGTAAAATACTGTTTGAAAGTCTGAATTCAAATAAACATAAATTCTTAACTTTAAATGAAAAAAGGGGCATATGTGTAAGTACAGGTGTACCTGTGTTTTGGTTCTTTTGTGAAACAAAGTATCACAGGTCAGCAGGATCTAATTTACAATGTCCTTTCAGTTCTCAAACCTTGAGATTTGTTCCTTTTATATTTTAATTTTTTATTTTTAAATAATTTCAGATTTACAGAAAGGTTGTAATAAGATTACCAACATTTCCATTTTCCCATAACCCAGATTCCTCAATGTTAACATTGTAGAAGGGATATTCTTTTACCCTTAAATACTTCGGACTGAATTTCTTAAAAAACTAGGACATTCTCTTACATAATTATATACAAATATAAATGTTAGGAAATTAACATTCATTGACAATACTATTGTCTGTCTATAAGCTATATTCATATTTTTCCAGTTATCCTAATAACATCCTGTGCAACAAAACAAAATCCTGAATCATGAGTTGCATTCAGTGTTCATATCTCTTTAGACTACTTTAATCTAGAACATTTCCTCAATTTTTTATCTTTTATGACATTGATATTTTTGAAGCATAAGAGATAGTTATATTGCAAAAATTTGGGTTTGTCTGATGTTTCCTCAAGATTAGATTCGGGTTGTGCTTTTTTGGTAGGAGTACCAAAGAAGTGATATTGTGTACTTCTTAGTGCCCCCTATTAGGAGGCATATGATATCAGTTTATCCCTTTAGTGGTGATAGAGACTTTGATCACTTGGTAAAGTGATATCTGATAGGTTTCTCCACTGTAAGGTACTATGTTCCTTTTGTAATTAATAAATATCTTATAGGGGGATACTTTTTGACTATGTCAATATTCTGTTTCCATTAATTTTTTAGCCATTAGTTTTAACAAAGATTTTTTTCCTTAATTCCCTACTTCCCAGAACTTTCTAAGTAAGTTTAACATTAAGCTTCTTTTATGTAATCTCTACCCTAATAAATGGATGCTACAGCCAGTGTCTACTCTGCTCTGAGTTCTCTGATGCACAGTTAAGATCGCAGGAATCCACTAGGTCAAGATGACAAAAGGAAATCCAATCCATCTTTTTTTAATAAGAAAATGGTAGTGTACCCTTGAGGGATTCTATCTTGGCAATTGAGAGCTACAAAGCATTCCCTGTCTCCAGTTCTCAGGAAACAATGGTCCAGTATTGTTATCAAGTTTTATATCAAAATTCCCATATTTCACAGTTTAAAAAGGAATCATTTTAAAAAGTAATATATATCTAATAGCAATAATGTAAACACTTCTTAAACACTTTTCTTTTAAATATTTCAAATGTTATCGTCTTTTTAGAAGAAAAGATTCCCTCTTCCCCACAAAAGAGTTGTCAGGTAAATTTTTTATCCCCCTTTTTATTCATCCACCCCCCCCTCCCCCTTCAAATCTCTTTCTCCTCCCCTACTCAAGACCTTATATCCTATGCTGGAAGCAATCTGGTGAAACCTGTCAGAAGGTGGAAGGAAGGATGAGCGCTCTTCTAGTCCTAGATTCTATAAAACTGTCCTTACCTGCTGTGGAAAACAGGTGCGGACTGAGTGCTCTGTGTAACCAAAAGATGGCCCTTCAAAGACAGCTGTTGGGAGCTTCAGAACTTCCTTCAGAAACTGGTCAAACTTGCTAAATATCATTAAGCCATTGGAATCTGACATCTGGGAGAAAACATCTATGAGAACAAAACCAAATAAAGTCAAACTCTAAGGAAATATCAGCTTTTCATAAATGGCTCTATGTCATTTGTATACTGTCAAAAAGTATCATAAAGCTATGATTTTTAGTTAATATTAAAACTATTCTCATTCTTATTAACATTGTGTGGTTACTATGCTGACAAGGCCTCTCTCTCCCACTCAACACTAAAATCATTAAACATCAGATCAATAACCATCCATGTATATCTACCTACCTACTCTGAGTTTTTATAACTAGATGATATAAAACTTTTAATTTTATTTGTTTATACTTCACTTTGTTCTCAAGGAGAATTTGAAGCAGGATACCTTTATCTCTTAGTATCTGTATATTGTTTATATAATACATGTGCATGTTTGAGTATATGAACATATTAGCATACTGGTGATAGGGTATGAAAGAAATTATATTTGTACATTCATATACTGATGACATATAGCTATGAAGAAATAAATTTGATGACAACAGAGTATGTTTACAATATTTGCTCTAATGAGTTCCAAAGCAAATTTAAAAAACTCATCTAAACTCTTCTATTCCAAGATATTTTGATATTGTTCTATTCCAAGATACTTTGATACTATTTTTACATTAACTGGGGCTAAGAAGACAGGAAAAAAGTTTTCAGTAACACTAGTACTACTTTATCTTCTTGCAGAAAGTTCCTGTCTCCTGTTATTCCTCTCTTCTCATCCATAGTAGGAGAGAAAAAGAAAAGGAGCTCAAAAACAACAAAGAAATGTGACCTAAGTTGTTTTTCAAACGATTGAGCTGCTTTACAAACAAATTAATAAGTTAAATATGCTCATAAAAATCATTTCTAGAGGGCTTTTCCAACATAGCATTTTGAAAATTCATATTCTATATATTCACAGTGAACAGGTATATTAGAGATCTATATATAATAGAGATATGTAATATACATATATGCATTACTCTTTTGGTTCAATTTGGAGAATTTATCCTAAAGCATTAGGTGAAGAAAAAAAAATTTTTAATACATTAATCAAAGAAAGATAAAATATTGTTATGAACTCCACAGGGTAATTTTTAAGGCATTAGAAAACAGGAGATTATCAAAGGAATGAAAATCTTCAGTATATCCTCTCATGATAGCTGCTAGCATAGTTGGAAAAAAAATATTAAATGCCCATATGGGGGGGTGGATCCAATAAGAGAAGTATGGCCCTAGTAGAAAGTAAAATCAAGTAATTAAAAAATATATATTAAGTTCTTATTATGTGGTCCAAGTGCCAAGCACTCTGTTAAGGTGATTTGAAGCACACCAAGTAAGTATCACACATGGTCCTGATCCCCCAAGACTCTTTCAATGTAGCTGCAAAAAACAAGATACATTATAAAATAAAGAATTAAGAGCTAAACTTACTCTAAATACAACAGAAAGAACAGAGGCAAAAAGATACTTGTTAAGCCCCACCATGTGCCAGGCATCATGATAGGTAACTATGCTGAGTCTGTCAGTAGCCACATTATCTTCTTCTTCCTTAGTAACAGAACACTAATTTTATTTTATGCAGCAATGTACCCAACTAACAGATTAAACATCTCAGCCTCCTTTTAGCAAGTTGTGGCCATGTGACTAAATTCTGGCCAATGAGATTATAAGCAGAGGGTTGTAGGAACTTCCATGAAGACTAATTAAAGAAAGCTAACTGAGCTGGAAAGCATGCCATTATTTGATTAGTCCCTTCCTCCTCTGGCTATCTGGAATGCAGCTATGCTGGCTAGAGCACCAGCAGCCACCTTGGACTATGAGGTATTCTCAATCTTGACATAGAAATTATACACTAGAATGGCACAAAAAAAAAAAAAAAAAAAACAGAGAAAGGCTGAGTCCCAGATGAACATGAAGCTACCATACCAGCCCTGGACTACCTACTTCTGGACTTCCCTTATGTAAGAGAAAAATAAACTTCAACATCATTTAAAACACTATTATTCTGGGATTTTGCTTTCATGCAACAAACCCTAATACTAAGTGCTACTATACTTCACCAAACATTATCTCATTTTACTCTCATAAAGAGAGGTGTGTGTACATGTTTACATATATAATCATTTAAATTTTATAAAGAAATTGTAGCTTAAAAAGGTTAACTTGAGGTCAAAAAGTTAGTGGCCAAATCAAGTTTTAAACCCATACCTTGTGACTCAAAAATAAATTCCAGGCGGGCGCAGTGGCTCACGCCTGTAATTCTAGCACTCTGGGAGGCCGAGGCGGGCAGATTGCTCGAGGTGAAGAGTTCGAAACCAGCCTGAGCAAGAGGGAGACCCCGTCTCTACTATAAGTACAAAGAAATCAATTGGCCAACTAAAATATTTATAGAAAAAATTAGCCAGGCATGGTGGCACATGCCTGTAGTCCCAGCTACTCAGGAGGCTGAAGTAGCAGGATTGCTTGAGCCCAGGAGTTTGATGTTGCTATGAGCTAGGCTGACGCCACGGCACTCACTCTAGCCTGGGCAACAAAGTGAGACCCTGTCTTAAAAAAAAAAAAAAAAATTCCATTACATCACACTCCTTCAAATTAAAATTTAGGGCAGGGCGTGGTGGCTCACACCTAGTAATCCTAGCACTCTGGGAGGCCTAGGCGGAGGATCGTTTGAGCTCAGGAGTTTGAGACCAGCCTGCACAAGAGCGAGACCCCGTCTATACTAAAAAAATAGAAAGAAATTAGCTGGACAACTAAAATATATAGATATAAAAAATATTAGCTGGGCACGGTGGCACATGCCTATAGTCCCAGCTACTCAGGAGGCTGAGGTAGGAGGATCACTTAAGCCCAGGAGTTAGAGGTTGCTGTGAGCTAGGCTGACACCACGGCACTCTAGCCCAGGTAACAGAGTGAGACTCTGTCTCAAAAAAAAAAAAAAAAAATATATTATTATAATATATAATTAGAATAGATACAAAAACACATAGACAGAAATTGTCACGAAAGTTTCTAAAAGAAAAGAATTTAGAAGGTAGGCCCTGAAAGTTAGGATTTGGAAGGATAAGGTCAAAATAGGTTGGGGGTAGGGACTCAGAGACACTAAAGAAGAGTAGGATAAAAGTCTCTAGGACAGGAATGCATAGAGTGCCTCTGTTATCAGTCATAAACAGGAATCAGGGCACTGAAGAGAATATTCTATGGCAGATAATTAACATTGATAAATAAAGGAAAACAAAGATTGAATAAGAAGAGCACTTCTGTTATAAAAGAAAACTTTGAAAGAGGAAAGTAATTTGTATTTGGCTTAAAATCTTTTAAGTAGGTACCAAATTTTTAGAAAGCTAGGTTTCAAGATTAGACTGTAATGACTGATACAATTAATAATAATAATAATAAAAGAATGGAATTGGAGACATCAGCTAGAAAACCTTCTAAACAATGCACAAATGAGGTTGGGAGAGTCTGGATTACAGGAGTAACCCTATGTATGGGGAAAGGTCAAATCCAAGGCATTTCAATGCAAGGAACTACAGTTGATGGCAAACTGGATTAGGGAATAAAGAAATTTTAAAAATTAAAATTATTCTAAATTTCTAGCTTGGGAAAATGCTGACAACTTTGACATAAACAAATCAAAAATAATGATATTACACTTAGCTTTGAACATAACTGTATTTGAACTAATCAGCAAAATTTCAAGTGGACCATCTTGCAGAAAGTCAGAAACAAAGTACTTCCCACAGTTCTAGACTGCAGATAGAGAACTGTGAAAATGTTAGCAATGACATGAATAACTAATGCTCTTCAAAGGAAGGAAGAATGTAAGTAATTTAATTTTTGAATAGGTGGCTGCTATTCTTAGAATGAGGAAAGTAACCATTCATTAAATCTGAATGAAAACAAAGGGTCAATATTGGAGGTGGCAGACACTGCAAGGTGCCTATTCAATATCTAGTTTCCCCTTCTTGCTCACTAACTTAGCCTTGACTCTTTCTGAAATGGGAGTGTACTTGCTTAAAAAGTGAATTCTCAGCCCCCTTTGTACATTGTATTTGGGGTAGATTTCTGGAAAACCTTTTGCTTCCTAATAGAGGCACTTTTTCCCTCTTTCTGCTTGGAATGAATACATAAGGCCTAGGATAAAGTAGTCATGTTATGACCCTAGGGAAGAAAGCCGTATAGCAAAACAGGAAGACAGAAAGAACTGAAGTCTTTGATGATATCCATAAGTCATGGTACCAACTCTAGATTTACCAGCCTTTGGACTTACCAGCCTTTTTACATGAAAAAAAAATAAATCCTAATGTACTTAAGCCACTGTGAGTTAAAAGTTTTCTGTTGCCACTCAGTGTATTCATAACTGATAAACTAACAATTAACTTATGGCCACTAATGGTGGAAATATTCAGGACCAGAGACTTCAGCTACAAATTACATAAATATACATTTGTATAGCTCTGCAATCTCAAAAATATACGTGTATACACCCACACCAACAAATCTACATCTAACTCATTCAGAGTAATAAAAGGGAGTGATTGGATAGTGAAATAACTAACCACCCCCACACAAGAAGTATCATTTTCAGTTACATTTAGTTACTATGTCATATGAATAGATGCATAGTAAAAAAAATTAAGTTCATAAAAAAGAAACTATAATTTAATAAACTCATATTAGAATAAGAGAACAAGTAGAAACATGTTTATTTTAATAAGAGAAATACTACTAGACCCAAAAATCGAAGGCACAGTGAAGTAATTCATTACTTCTTGAGATACTGGCTTAAAACAATATTTTTGTTTTAGATAGGCTTCCTTTATCTGTAAGAAGAAAAATAAATATTATTGCTAATTTTTTCATCTTAAATGAAGTTTAACAATGAATCTAAGTTATTATAGTTTACCTATGTACATATATAAAGATCTTACCAAAGAAATAAATACGACAATACCCTTTAATAAAAAAATATATATATATAAATAAGCTAGTCCTCTAATTAAAGACCTAAACCCTCT